AACGGATCAGGCTCGTTGGCAGTAAGCTGATTAGAACCGAGCCGCTGAGCCCGACAGAGACTGATGAGGAGGAGGAGGAGGAGGAGGAGGAGGAGTCTGTGCTTTTAGACCTTTTATTAGATTCAAGGTTTTAAACAAAGTTAGAATGTTGGAGAAAATGTAAATAAAAACAGAATTCATAGATTTGAAAGTTAAACTCACAGCTGCTGTCCTACTGATTAAAGCTCTATCACACAAAGACCCCACACGTGAACATCGTCCAGAACCGTCTTCTCTGGATCCAAATCTGAAACCACATCATCAGTACTGAACCATCAGACTGTCAGCATGCTCAGTCTTCCTCTCTGATGGTGTAGGGGTGCATTAGTGCCTTTTTCATGAACAGCTGGAAACACTCGAAGTATCATCTGGTCCATCCAGGACTGGAGAACACCTGCAAGGGCGATGGTCCTCCAGGACCGGGGTTTGGAACCTGCAGGGTACTGGTCCTCCAGGACCGGGGTTTGGAACCTGCAGGGTACTGGTCCTCCAGGACCGGGGTTTGGAACCTGCAGGGTACTGGTCCTCCAGGACTGGAGTTTGGAACCTGCAGGGTACTGGTCCTCCAGGACCAGAGTCTGCAGCTCTATTACAGATGGTGGTTATCATATTCCTCTCCGGTCCAGGAGCGGTTCTCCTCAGGAGGGAGGGGTTTATCTGCTGACGGGGCTCTGGGAGCCACTTCCTGTTGATGTGAATGGTCGTCATGGTGACGAGAGGCGGCCAGGAAGTCTGCTGCTGCAGGTGGTCGATACTAACGATGAACGTTTGACCTCAAGTGACCGAATGAACTGAGATTAATCACTGCTGTTAGACTGAGACCACCAGAGTCCAGACCTCCACTGAACAGTTGTAACCATGAACAACATAACAAAATCCAACAAGTGACAAAAGATCAAACAGTTTCAGTTTTTAATTCAGGGTTCAGTMAAAATATTTAAAACCGTAAAGATTCTGTTTCCAACCTGACAACAGGGCAGCCAGGTGTGATGTGAGGACAGGTAGTACCTCTTCTGAGGACCACTTGTTGGAAACACACCTACTYATGGGGACMTAAGCCTGGTCCTCAGGGGGGCAACAGCTGTGGGTTTGTTTTAGGGTCCAGATGTAGAAACAAAAGAAGTCAGTGCAGTCCTGGTGAAGATAGGAGTACACAACGTGTGTGCTGCTGTGTTAGTGTGTGTATATTATGTGTATGTGTGTGTGTTGATGCATCATGAAGGATATTGTGTGTCTGCTGTGAGGCTCGTGGTTCAACCAGACGGGAGGATCACAGCGTCACACACAACTAATCACACACCATTTTACACACACGGACACACACATCAGAGCGTTAACAGGAGGAACGCACTCACTGCCAGACTCTGTGGCGACAAACTCACACTCTGTTGTCAATAAAACAACTTGAGAACATTAGAGTGTGAGACAAAAGAGATGACTGAAGCTGAATGAAAGCTGCTGCTCCACCTGTTCAGGTGATCAGAGATCAACTCTTCATTCTGACTGATTTCCTGCAGGTCTGCTTTAGAGACACGAGATCTGAAAACTCTGATAAATCTGGTTTAGACCTCCCAGAGTTCACAGGTCATCTCAGGAGAGAGACCAGTCGCTTGAGTTTGTGGCAAAACTTTAATTTTTATTTTCTTAAACAGTTGACCCRTCCTGTCTCCTCCCGCCCCGTCTTATCTCGTGGAACAAGCTGCTAACTTCCAGGGGTTCAGAAGATATTTTACTGACAAACTAAAAGCTGTGGGTCCTCCCTGGTCTCCCAGTCCTCATTAACATGGACTCTAGTCTGAACGGGTCCAGCCCACRGCCTCCCGTCTCACTAAACCTCTAATCTGCGCTCAGCGGAGCACGCTCGCTGCCTAAAATATCTGCAGAGGCAGAGTGAGGCGCAGCGGCGCCAGCTGACCCAGAAATCCCATCTCTCTGAGAAATGTCACAGCCCCCATCAAACAGCCAGGGTGGGTTCTGGACCGGTTTCACTCTGAGGCACAAAGGAGGCAGGTCCCTGTGAGAGGACGGGGACTCCCTGGAAACAGCAGAGTCCTGATCAGGATCAGGACTGAGCAGAGCTGCAGGTCCACTCTGCAGCTGAAAGRAAGAGCAGGACTTTAATAAAACATTGATCCAAACATGGATTAAATGATTAAATGATTCAGGAGCAGGAAAACAAAAACACATCAAACCATCATTTAATTTAGATGAGTCCATGTRCGGGACGGTCTTTGGGCTTTTCTTTTGTTTCAAAATAAAACGAGAAAA